AATCAACGGATGTCTTTAACCTAAACTTAATAGCATCTTCAGCACCTTCGGGAGAGCCTTTTGAATGTGCATTGTGCTATTTCTGCGCGGTCCTGTTCTCCATATGCAAAACATGCATGTACGGACTACGGAGGTAGTTATTCATAAATAAACATTACAAACATGCAAGTTCATGGTATTTAGGAGCGATCTTTACTTAGTTTGACCGAGGCCTACGCTCAATGCCTATATATGCTTTGATCATTGCAAAAATAAGCTTGAAACGAAATTTAAAGGACGACATTTATAAGTGTCCAATGTCCATGTTCCGATAAACGGATGCTATCTAGCTCGGCAGTCGTTCAGCACCAAGAAGAAAATAGGCGAAGCCATGGATCACCAAAGCTACTGGCGAGGTCAAGTATACAAGACCGTGTCAAGTTAAAGAGCAGCACGAACTTGGTGTGTGGGAACCGTCACTGGTGACGGTACTGAGGCAAGATATTGATTGGCTAAACCGTTAATATCCTTCATGCTCATTGCTCAACTCTTTGAAGCAGCCCTATTTTCTATATTTTACCATCATGCTGGGTGTAAGCCTTAAAGGGTCTCCCTCCACCATTCTGTCATTCTCTATATAGGTGCCCACCTACGTGGATTCGTTCTAATTTATTTTCAGTCTCAGCATTGTGTGTGACCCGAGTAGCCGTTCACAGCCCCATTCTCGACTTTCCGGACGCCTCGACCGGATCCTATGTAGTGGGAGAAGGTCGGTTGGCCTGTAGCGCAAACGAAGCCAGCCCGGTCCCGTGGCTCAGTTGCCGGCATTGTTCACATGCATTGTTCACATTGTTCACATGACAGGCGTCGGCGCGACTATCGTCAGCCCGTGATTAGTTGCCCTGTATGGACAGCCCGTAGAATAAACAGGGCGCGCGACGGCGGCAAATTTGGCCACCACGAGCACCAAATTGCCCAGGAACATGCTCTTAAACAGAAGGGTGTGTGACTTTGAGATGAATACGATCAGGCCGTGAATCATCCATTCGATGCGGGGCCATGATGGCTATTGGCAAGTTATGAACGTACTACCTTTGGTAATTGAGGTAGCAAGAATACATATTGAAATGACATTTACAAACATTCACTGTTTTCGAGTTTTTCAAATGGAAAACTAAAAATTGCATTATTTTTAAGCTATATTTCAACGATGCTTGGGAAGCATGCATTGTTGCTCTTAGGATCAATAACGACGAACCAGAAACTAAAGCATCCGAAATATGTTTGTATTTTTTATTAAGGCATATATGATAATAGCAACGTCACCTTTTCAACTATGGTAGGGTGAAGGTGTTATGTAGATTGTAGAATACCTAGATGTCTTAAATTTAAGCAATTTTGCTTTGGAACTTAGGCATTTCATGCAGTAATATTGGAGACGTATCAAATTGAGAATCAATTTATAACCAGGTTTAAAAGCATCACATAAACTCAACTAACCAAATTATATTGGCACTCAGTAGAACGGGCGGATTCAAACTTATAATACGATTGTCTACTTCCGTATTTCACGTTGATTTTGATTTTACGAAGTGTGGGTGCAGGAGCCGATTTCCTGAAATCTTTCACGGCGAATCTCGCATGATTAGCCAGCGCAAGTTTGGCTGGGAGTGGTACCGACTAAGAACGTGGGTCACATGCGGATGGAAGGTTACAACGGGCAGATCGTAGATGCCCGTCAGGCGCACACTGAAATTACTTTACGAAGTTGTGTGCCACATGTCGCGGGAGATGTGCCAAATATAAAACATGCATTAAACAGGTGTTCAATAATTCTGCCTGTAGCATAAAGAGAGCTGACCCTAGAGTGAATACGTATGAGGTATGGCGTGACGTCATCCATCTCCGGTCTCCTACACAGTTAACTGGTGCGTTCAGAAGAGTGACGTTGCGCGTACTCCCACCACGGCTATCTTTGTCATGGTTGCCACCCTTCGACACTGAATCTGTGCCCTCTCCCATGCGGACCAGCTGTAACGGAGCTTTGTGAACTCCTATGGTAGCTAGAAATGCAGGGCAATGGTGAAATCGTTCACAATAGCCGTCTTCACGACGGATTACCTGGCGAGTGCACCAAACTTGACCAAATCTGCACCAAATCTCTTGTACAACTATCTCCATATAATTATCTTATTTATTTCAGTGTTTTAATCGAAAGTAGGTAATGTCTAATAATGTGAAATATCTGGTAGGTATATAGGAAACTGCATGCAGTGTGCAACCCAAACTGATAACTTCTAAGATACACAAGCCGTTTTCACGACGGGCTATCCGGCGAATGCACCTAATTTGACCAAGTCTGCACCTAATCTCTTTAGCAGCAAATTTCTTCATTTTATGAATTTATTTCAGTGTTTTGATCGATCATGGTCTCTGATAATATGACAAAGCAGGCATATAAGCAATTAGTGCAGCCCTAGCTGATAGCTACTAATAGACACACTGAACCTAATTTGACTCCAAATCTGCACCTAACCTGCACCAGATGTGCACTAAATGTGTACCTACCAGATGGCCGTCGTGAACACGGCTACAATGAACCTAATTTGGCCAAACCTGTACCTAATTTGACCAAATCTGCACCAACTCTGCACCTAATGTGCGCCAAATGTGTACCAGATAGCCGTCGTGGAAACGGTTTATAATGGCCATTAGTTCAAGTTAGTTTGATATGGGACGGCAAGGGGATATCATCTTCGAATCGTATCGGACTATTGGAATAGTAAAGTAGGTAGCCGTTGCGCAGGGGCGGAATCGGAAATTCATATATACAACTCAAATCACGCCGAATTTGAATGAGGTGCTGTAATTGTCAACATGTGCAGTACAATTTAATAAACTTCACAAGAGGCAAAGAACAAAACCATGGATAAATAATAATGCTCAAACTATCGACGCTATAAACCACCAAAGTTGGTGGGGTTTCTTCAATATACCTACTTCTTCTTCTTCAATATACTACTCTATAATACCTCAACAGTTTCTTCAATATACTTCAATGTGTAGGTATCCTCAGTCATTACAAAGTCAATACAGCCCTGTATCATCACTTTTGGTCTGTTTAGTACATACTTGGTGAGTTGTTGCTCGTCGCATTTATCCGTTCTAAGCCAAAGTTTCGCTGATATCATGGCCATGGAAGTTGGAACTCAGTAAGTGACGGTATTCAACTAACCGTAACAGCAGATATGGCCGAAAAGTGAACTTCATGCCTTCATTAGTAGCATGCAGATGCGGGTTCTTTACGACATTCCGACGTTGAGCTGTTGAATGCCGCTGGTTATACCGTTATGCTGCTCTTCAAATTTCATATATGCTGTCATCTGCATGATTTATGTGGCAAATATGTGAATCTGACGGAACTGAAAATACTGCTGGACAATATAGTATGAAATGTGGGCAATTTATGTCATGCATCGTCACCATAAAGTTCAATAATAAAACTCGCGTTACATTAATCACGTGTTCTGCTTTACAGTGCGCGGGAAATGGGTTGCACTGTTACACCTATATTACTCGTACATCCATGCCTATACTGCTAATGCTGTTGCAAAGTGATCAGCTCTGGTTGTGGTCTACGGCATGACATTGATACGGGTCTTATATCTTGTCCCAAGGGGCTAGACTAGCTCGATACGTTGTTTTAGCCTGACCATTTAAACCATTTAAAAGGAGAGAAGCAAACTGCTAATTCATGAATAAGGCCATGTGCTTTAATTAGCATTACAAAATGCGTGTCATTCCGTTACATTTAATTCAACTGTTGAAGGCTGCTTTGCGTTTCCGATTCGTATTCAGTCAGTCACTTAGGAGCAAGTATTCGGGCAAGACCCCGTTTCCGACCGCTGCCCTTCACCGAAATGTGAACGTACGACTGGGAGGCCCACTATCTGAACATATTGATGAGAAGAGACTGAAAATGGCGTGGGGGTGGACTGTTGAGATCCACACCTACGGTAAGGTGGTGGGTGGTTGGCAGGACAGACAGACGAGCTAACTGACCATACCAGAAAGTTCAGACGAATTTTGTGACCACCGGTCAGCGGTCAATGGTGATGGGAGTCGTGGAATTTAGTAGTCAGGCCAATGATGACTTGTGACAGGTTGGAAATGAGCGTCAGAGAGCGACCCTGAAGTAGGTATTCACTCACTCGCTATGGCCAGTCGTTGCAGAAATAACAAACGGTCAGTGGATTGGGCAGCGCAAGAGGGAGCCTGCTTCCGCGGTTAATGAAAAAGGATCAAATTCCGACAATACACGAAATAATGGATTCTTTTTTAGACCGGCGCTGATCCAAAATTCTTGATCTGCCGCTGAATTACGCGTAATTGCTTATTGCCGCTTCAGTTAAGATAAGCTGAACCTGACAATTGATATCAAAGGCGAGTGATTTATCGGTACGAATTGGTGTTAAGGGCAGTCTATATTGCGACCCAAGATGTAACGTACACTTGTTGTCGAAAAGTTGCGCGAACTGCATAAGTTAGAGTCTCAAGAGTGTAATTGATATATTCATAGCCGGACTCTGGTACGTGACACTAACCGACTTCATTTGGGCTGTAACGCAACTCCACGCATACCTGGCGCATACCAGTTCATCAGGAGCTAATAGAAAATGGTGAAGTGGTTTGCAGAAGGCTCCATCACCTTGCCGGCTATGCCAACTTAAGTACTCACCCGATCAAGCCGGTTGGGCGAGTAAATGACAGTGAATGATTGAAGTCATACGTCTGTGCTGATATGTCGTCTTCAGTCTTCATTTTTATGACCGAAGTCATATGCGTCTTATAATGTTAGAAGGATGGTATGTCAGGATGTCAATGATTGCAGTGTTTCGTATGACAAGTTTTTTCAACAGTTAATTGTCTGGTCACCTCGAGAAGTCGCCGTCTGTCTGTCGGCGGCGGCGCAACTGGGCTGCGGCGGTAACAACTGAAGAGCAGGCTGGCCGGTCGGTTACCTGTGACGGTGTGTGAGCAGTACGCAGCGCTGAGCCCGCGGGGTGCAGGACGCCGAGGACGGGCAGCAGCGGCCGGACGGACGGCGGTGGCAGCGGCGGCCGGTCGGGGGACGAACTGGCTACACTGGCCGGCGGCGACCCCGGGTCACTTGCCGCCGGCCGCGCCGACCGGCCGGCGCACAGCGGCCGCCCCCGCCCGGCGCACAGCCGCCGCCCCCGCCCGGCCGACCGGGGACGTCACCGCCCTCAGGGTGCACCGACACACCGCGGCCACAGCGGGCTGATAGCAGGCGTCTGACAAACATTCGTTGCCAAACACAGCCACCCCCGACAGGACACCTTCTCAGAAAGGTACCCATACGCCCGTCACATCCCGGGCGATTATCTCTGAAATCACGAGCTTCCGCCGCCGCCACGCAAATCAGCGATGTGCTAGAAGTGATTAGTCGAGTGACAGTGACATGCCGGAGCACAGTCTGGCCTCTCTTCATCTCTGAAAACCAACGCGTACAGAGGATTCTGGTTAAAATGTCAACATGTATCATTTAACCCGCACCCCGCTGGAGGTCCTGCATCCTGGATTTCCACGCCCTGCTGGGGGGGAGGGTAAGTACCCCAATTCTAACTCAGCTCCTGGGCCACGTAGCGGCACGCCGTAGGCGGTGGTCGAAAGAGGGTAAAAAATAATGAAAAACTTCACTTCTTAGGTCAGGTCAAAGGTCAGGTTATCAGAGATCATCGAAAGTAAAATTTCGCCATTTTTCAGGTCAAACTTCGACTATTTTCGACGAACCGGCACATAGCTCAGGAACGGATAGAGCTACGGTGCCGGAGAAAGGCGCATTCGATAGGTCTTTTAACGGACTTTCTGTGTGATTCTTTCATATTTGACCTCAGGTCAACGGTGGTGATTATTGTTGGCAACTTTATCTCTAAACTCCTGAATTTTCGACAGCTGAATTTTACTGTTTCTCTCTCTCTCTCTCTCTCTCTCTCTCTCTCTCTCTCTCTCTCTCTCTCTCTCTCTCTCTCTCTCTCTCTCTCTCTCTCTCTCTCTCTCTCTCTCTCTCTCTCTCTCTCTCTCTCTCTCCCCCTCTCTCTCCCTCTCTCTTTCTCCCTCGACCAATCAACTCCCTTCCCATTGCGCTTTAATCGCCCCCTCATCAGCCCGCGCGCGCGCTGTCTGCGCTTGACGTAGTGCGGCACAGCCTACCTTCAGGCGCTCACTACTGCTGCCATCTAGCGAGTAAATTATCAGTGTCTTCACAATCGGTGCGCCTCCGTGTATTAGCATTACTGAGCATAGTATTGGGAGTCTATTCACATGGAGTGGCCCGTTCCACGTGATAACGATTAAAAGTACGCAGAAATGCGTAATGGCCTGCCTATTTAGCACAACTGCCTGCCTGTATCGCGCAGAAGCCCTTCTGTTGATAGAAAGCGCAATAGTCCGTCTACCTATATATGTATATGTGTATTGAGTGTTTTGGCTATTAAAGTAATACGAGCACTGTCACCCTACGAAGAGAAATATTGTCATATTTGTCACCGTCAACTATCCTTCTTCCAGCTGGTGAAACAGTGCGCAGACGGTTGACACCCTAATACACGGTCTCTCCAACCCATTTCGTGGCGAAGTCGGGTAGCTTTTGGGCTTGCGTTTGTGCCCAACTACTCCATAAATAGAATCACGCACAAGACTGTCGGTGAGGCTAGTCCTTGTGTTCTGGTAAGTTCTGAGAGGGAGGCGCTACACTCGGTCCGACGCAGATGTTATCGCCGGGGCAGGCTGATTGCAGCGTGACCAACTAAGACAGTGATCGACAGAGAGAGAGAGAGAGAGAGAGGGAGAGAGAGAGAGAGAGAGAGAGAGGGAGAGAGAGAGGGAGGGAGAGGGAGGGAGAGAGAGAGAGAGAGAGAGAGGGAGGGGGAAGGGAAGGAGAAGGGGAGACAGAGGAGAGTGGAGAGACTGGAGAGTGGACAGGGACAGATCGATTAAAGGCGAGATGCTGTTAAACAGGCTTTGAGGAAGATGTGCATCTGCCGTTTCTTTGTTATGAACAACTGCCTCTGACTGCAAAGTCTACTTTCAAGCATGACTATTAATGTTGCATATTAAAACAATACTGATGTCATGCATCATCTTACTATCTTTGTGTTGCAAATTCCAAAAAGGTGCATACAATTATGCAGTCAGAACTTAAGATATCCATAATGGCCGTCGATTATTGGCTGAGTGTCATTAATTTCTGACCTACGCACTTCTCGTGTGCGGTACTCATCATCTACCTCTTTCGTGGTGGGACAATGTGACTAATTCCTGCACCGATGAAAATGGCGACCCGTCGGCAGAGCCCCAGGTGGCCGGACACAATCAGCTGACGACGAGCGCCCTCACGCAGCTGTGGCGTCACGGGGGACCGCCGCGGGCCGTCCCTGAGGTCTGCGAACGCCCCGCGGAACCGTCCACTGACGTGACGAACGGCGGTTACGGCTGAAGGGGACTGCGCCGGTGATGACAACCAGATGCCCAGGGGGTGTCGCTGGGATAAACCCTGGGATTAGGCAGCAATGACTGATGAGTAATGACAGCCGGCATGCATTCAATGGTTCGAATCATGAACAGGATTACGGAGATGCATCTTCCCAGCTACATGTGGCTGGGGAGTTTTGGGCTCTGTGCAAAGGTACTGGGTGAAAATTCAGTTAGGTACATACCTACATTACTTGTCGACTAAAAGGGTCTATGAGTGGTCTGAAATCGAATCAATAGATCATACAGTTTGTATTATGTTGAGGCATAAGTGCATATAAATTCAAGGTTTTTTCTTGTATACTGTTCTAAAAGTTATCACACAATAAAACACTTCAGATGTGCTTTGGTTGATCAACCACCCAATGTCAAAGCTGTCGTTTACCATTTCTGCATTTGCCACAGTTTTGACAGTTTGCCGTGAAAGAATGGGACCCAAGAACTGCGGTAGGTGGCATAAGAACACCGTAAAAACACCGTAGAGACTAACTCATAGTCAGAACATTTCCATGTTAACACCCTCGACTTTATATTTGATAGATATACATAGTTTGAAATCCAAATAAATCAATTACTTCTCTCCTGGCATACAAATATCTGCGTCTTTGTTCTTTCATTTTTTATCCAGCCTATTTGATCTGTTTAGACATACGATATTATTTTATTGGCCTATATGCTACGCATCAAGTATACGCAACTGCTTCTGTACATCTTTATAAACTGGTTATATTGTGCCCCTGCCTATCGGTGTATCTCGAGCAAAACACTAAGGACTGGCTTAAGTCAATAACGAACAATATTTGTTCTATTAACCACCACTGAACCATTAGCCCCTGGGGTCGGCACGGGTTATCCCAAGGGGGTTCCCCTCAAAACCTCATTATTCGATGCATGGTCGATCGTTGATCTATTATCTATAACGCATGACGAGGCTTTGTGTATGCTTAGTTGGCAATCGGCATCGCTAAAGTTCCTAGTCCTAATCAATGGAAGTCGGCTAGGCTAGGTGCTTATCGGTTAAACACGCATATGTGGTGTCCAGTGTGGGTAGTTTACTTAAGGTTTAGGTGTTGCGTCTTATTGCTGTTTCTAGCAATTTCCAATACTTCCAAAGTGCTAAGTTAGAATGACTATTGTTTCTGAAAAGGTAATTAAATTGGCTATGAGCTGTGTGAAGCAGTGTCATACCTACATGCTAAGGGTAGGTAGGTACCTGAAGTTACTTATACGTTACGTGGTAATAAATAATTCGCGTTCCATATGTTTGCGTGTACAATGTGGGACGTGATTTGCTGTCTGGTTTTATTGGGACTGATATCTCGGTGTCAGCTGTTCGTCTCCTGTGCCGGTCCTCGGCGCGTCTCAGGTCAGTCGTCTCCTGTGTCTACTGAGTGGCCCAACTTGCCTCGTTAGCGCTGGCTAGACCAGGCGGGTGACACAGCGATACCCCCCCCCCCCCCGTCCCCCTCCCCCAGATCCGTCACGGTGGCGGCCAGGTGACGGGATAAAAACCTCGGCTGACGTCCGACCCACGTCAGCAGCACGCAGCCCCGCGGCCCGGCGGCGGCCTCACGAATAGTGAGTGGATCGCTCAAAACACACCAGCGGGGACCGCAAAGCAGCCCGGCCAATGACAATAAAACGATGACATGCATTTCATTTCCCGTGGACGCATATTGGTCATGGAAAAATATGGCGTTACAAGTCGAGGTCATCAGCCCACAGCCTCATGGTATACAGCAGTTAGAGCACGGATTATACTGTCCGTAATGCTCAGTGATGGATATGTTGGACATGTTGACGCTGGGCCACTCCGGATCAATGTCTGAACTACGGAATGATGTTCAGTGAAATAGCAACATATTTTCCAAGCTTACAGCCGTGCTATAGGTCAGGTGTGCAAAGGTTATGTAATGCATCAATTGCTGATTAGTGAGGGGAAACTAATTAATTTCTACTTATATGTCACATCATTTTCCTGAACTTGGTAAATGATGTTGCATCGTAGCAAAGACTTTGTTATACTAAGTAGCTTATTTCTGCATCCCTATGCATTACTTGCCAATGGAAATTAGATAATCTCTTCAGTGCAGAAGTCGTCATTCATTTTCCTCGATTAACACGTTTTGTCGATCGCTGCTTTCCTCACCATTGCCGCGTTGCTTTCCTCCAAGTCGCTTTAAAACGTCCCCTATGGCGGCGCTCCCGACATGTCTGCCCTTTCTTAAGTGTGACGTTCTTTAGCCGGTGGGCCGCGATCACATCTCCTTCACTGTTTACTCCCCAAACAAAGTCATTGCTGGGCTCGGCTTTAGAGGTGATGAGCCCTCCTGGACCATTACCGGATAGCCGTCCGATCATAAACTAACCCGCTCTGCAAAGAGCAGTTTTATGTCGCGCGCGCTGAGAGGTCGTTGGAAATTTCTTAGAGCACTTGCCGAGTTTTGGAGATTAGGGATTGTTAAATGATTGAAGGTTTCTGATACAGTATCACTTTTTCTGACGCTGTCGTTTGTGAAAACTGACCGAAACATGTGTTCATAATAGGTAAAGAGCACCAATAGGCGTGCCCTTCATATAATATTCATCGATCACCGAGTATTGGTTCTCTCTTCAAGCATATAGCGCTGGAATACTAGGTCACTCACTTATTATTCTGCTTTCGTCAGCCTGTAGCCCGGCCGCCTTTTACAACCGATCCCAGCTCAAAAAGTCTCACCCGACAGCGTTACCTATTCATTTTGCTGCTTCAAAAGACCACGGTGTCAGGTGGTCTGAATCCTTTACTCGGGGAAGTCTGCTTAAGCAGTCTCTTTTCAAGACCCACAAACATCATACATTTGGCGTCTTGGCCCCTGAACTGAGACATAATCAAATACGGCGCCTAAATTTTGACCATTTCATGGTGATAAAATGTCTTTGAAGACGTAAATAAGGTCTGAATGAAGTACTGGTGTGCAGTTAAATGGGTAAATCAGAAGGCCAGCGAGTAGCATTCGAAGCCCATGCAATGTGCATAGATCATAAGGGAATCTTCTGCTGGTATGAAACTCAAAAATTAAATTGTGCTGAATGCTTTATCCATCTAAGACCAATGCTAGCCAGATGTGCAGACCAGCAAATTAGTATTCCCGCATGCACATTGGAGCTTCCTCGCTGTGAATTAGTTTATCGCATGCATTCAGCATTTGCTGTCCTGGAAAGACACGGTTTATTGGAGGGCTACGGCACGGTTAGGATTTTAGCGTCATCATGCATTAGCTTCTAGAAACGCCATTGTTTTAGATGAGGAATTATTACGCTTCTCAATATTGTGTCATTTCTAATGAGATATCTAATAAATTTAATGGGATGGGTTAACCCTCGCCGACACACAGGGTGATGCAACCCCCTAAGATTTTTCGCAAATAACTCGCGTAAGAAGCGGCCGATCGCGACGAAACCTTCAGTACCATCGCGCTGATCAATTTTACACTTATTCTGAAAACTTCATGACCCTGACCCAAATGACCTTTGACCTGTGACCTACTTTTCGAGACCAAGTTTGGCCGGAATCGCGGTTCGGCGTATGCCGGTTCGCATTAGCCGCGCGTTTGCAGTCCTTTCGTGGTTTCAAGCGTTCAAACATCTGTTGATGCTTCCCCTATGCATAAGGGTGGATGTCAAGGTCATCTGAAGGCCAGGTCAGGTCACTGGCCTTTGATGACCTCGATCCACTTTTTCGAGTTTTACATGCCTCTAACTTAACCCTCGCCCATGTATGGGGGGTTGGTGCAACCCCCCCTGAGGTTTTTCGGAAATAGTGCAAAAACGGCGGCGCGCAGCGCCGCCAAATTTTGGGTACCTGATGGGGCAAACCTTGCGCATCTTTTGATAAAAAAAAATTTGACCGGGTCATGTCAGGTCACGGAGTTATGACGTCACAAAGGGAACAGCCTCCGGCCGGATTTTCACAAACTGAGTGCCAACGCCCGAGGTTTCCTGCCGGTGGTACGGACATCGGTTGATGGATCGTGATGAAACTTCACATGCATGTTGGGGCAAGTATTGGCTATCATATGGTATAAGAAACTTGACCGGGTCAGGTCAGGTCACGGAGCTATGACGTCACAAGAGGAACAGCGTCCGGTACTATTTTTGAAAAGCGCCCGAACCACTATTTTGCTAATTCTTGTCACCTCAATGGGAATATGCAGCAATATTAGCTTCTATAGGGAGCAAATGGACCTACCAAATCCAAAAATACAATCAGATTTCAAAAATTTAAATTTTGATTTTTCGAATTTCTGCCGCCGACTGTGACCTTGCCGACTTCCGGCGCTCCCAACGCGCCATTTTTAGAGCTAGGGAAACGAAATACATACCAAACGATAGAGAATTGATCAAGGAACACGATAGTGAAGGTTTCAAGTCGATATCTCCCACCGTTTTGCCGCAATCGCCGCGGAAAGTTGAAAAAAGTCTATTTTTCCGAAAATTTGACCTTTGACCGGTCAAAAGTAGGTCAAATGTTGACCTAGGACCAAAAAATATACCACCAATCGCGAGATCTCGGCGAGAGCAATCCGTTGGTCTTTTCCGCTAAGCTCTACGACGCTCCGTTTTCAAACGCCAAGGGGGGGGGGTCGCACCAACCCCCCCCCCTGCATGGGCGAAGGTGGCAGATCGCCGTTTACGGGCGAGGGTTAAGCCAGTTTTTGGAGCTGATTTCGAAGTTAGCAACCATCTGAACATTTGCGAAGTAGTTTTGGTGCCTTCGTAACATGTTACGAAGCTATCAGAGGTGGTTGACACGAACTTCAACTATCCGGCAGGACCTTTACTGGTTGACCTGACCTGACCTGACCCGACCTGGCCTAAATGTATAAGGACATCATCTGTGATCAAAACGAACATGATGTTCGTGATCAGCACCCCGGAACCCCCATGGCAGCCAAACTTTACGACGTTCTAACAGGTCCCGATTTTCCCGACGGTTGGGTCATTGACCTGACCTGGAAGGTCAACCGATGACCTAGGACCTTAAAATTGGGTATCATCGGCTTATTTTTGTCAGGGCAACACGTTCATGTTTTCCGCGAATCTCTAGCTCGATCAGGGGCCAAGCGCGAGAGGGGAGGTCGTCCCCCCCCCCCACACACACACACACTTGCGCCGTCAAAGGACGCAAAATGGCCTGTGCCGGGGAGGGTTAAATTGGCTTTATAATCAACGATCTCTGAGTTTTGACGTTCGTAACAGAGGATTCCAATCGTCCTCAAGTACCTAGCCATGGCCGTCCCCCCCCCTTGGATACGTCCCTGGCCATGATCATATCAAACGTGATAGCTTTCATGATAACGAAGCATTACCTTGGGATACTGTGCTGCAATTATGCGTGACTGACTTTGCAGTGACAACCGCTACACTTTTTAGGTGTTATGCTGTAAAAGGCAAATGGTATGTTTGTTAAAATATATTCATATAATACGTTTACGTATATTGTTTGTCTTCGGTGGTAAAGCTTTTATCTACATACAGAATGCAGTCAAAATCTTAAACTCATTTATTGAGCTTCGAAACACGTCACGTTCGTCATGCTAAATTATCACAAGAGTGAACTCTAACAGGCAATTAACGACAAACACTGTCCAACCGCATTAAATTGTCACTGGTCGGGCTCCTGAATAACATCGGGACACTCACTTTCTCAACCAAACCCGCGTGACGCGACGACCTCAAATCGAGCCTTTCACAAGTCCAACAGGAGACATGTCACGCAGAGCCCCCTAAGCATCACCAATGGTCATCAATGGTCACCACACAGTGGTGTCGGCCGCTGTTGCCGCCTATTTCTTGAACTGGACGCTCTCGTAAATGTCGGGCTGTCCGGCGTCACCGTCGCTGTCGTACAGCCACGGGTACTGCTTCGGGCACGAGAAGCACGTCGTGAAGTACCTGTAAAAGAGGGCAAAAGAAATGTGAGCGGGCGTTCTGTGGAGACAGATTGACGATAAAGGCAACTAGCTTATGAAACAAGCAATATGAAAGCAAGAGGAATCGCCCGAAAAAAATGAGCCGAGTCCGAATCGTGTCATTTAGTCTGCGACGTCCTCGGACATTTATCCCAATTCCACTGGTATCATAGCAGGGAAAGTAAATTACGTGCCGAACCATTGCGAGGTTAGCAAAACCATCCCTAGTCTCTAGTTCTACCAATTCCCCATTCAGCAACTACAGAGGCTCGCGGACTGACCTGGTGCCGGGCACCCAGGCCGGGTCGCCGTCCTTGGGCGGTTTGAAGCTGATGCGGCAGGTGTTGGGCAGGTTGCACGCCGGCTCCGGGATGTCCTTGCGCTTCCTGCAGTCCCACTGGTCGAGCTGAGCCAGCTGGTTGATGGGGATCGGATCGGTCATCCAGTAGAGGGCCTGCGTCATCGTCACGAACCAGACGTCGTCCCTGCGGAAGGCGAGGGGGGCGGGAGGTCAATACATGTCACAGGCCGCTGGTTGGCGGGAAGGTTGATGAAAGACATGGAGCGAGTTAAACCTCCAGGGTTGGGATAGAGCAAGTTATGCAGCTGAACAGCGTTAGGCTGGGTGTCTTCTGTCCAACAAAGAACTACAAATGCAGTTTGCAATGAACTGCACAAAATAAACAACAAATAATTGCATCTGCCATCTTTTTCTTTAATGACGGGAAAAACTCAGCATTTCTGCATTTTGCTGCCGAAGAGCGGCACTCACTTCTGGTTGAGCCACTGCAGGAAGAGGTTGAGACCCTCGATGAGGTTGGCCTCGTTAAACCAGTTGGTGTGGAAAGAGAGCTGGTAGGGCGCCCGGTTGCTCTCGTAGTGCCGGTTGAAGTCCTCCTTGAACCAGGTCAGGATTTCGGCCGGCTCGTAGTTGAAGAGCACACACTGGTCCAGGTAGGGACAGTGACCGCCGTCGTAGCCCTGGACGTAGTGCGAGTTGAGCGGGATCTCCCACACACCTGGGGGAGCAGAGGGATGATTAAATCACACTTTGTAGATAAGGATGGATACTGAAAAACACCTAACATCAGCGCATATAGCAAATAAGAGGAACATGTTTTTTGCACTTACACAGTGCACAGTTGTAATAGAATTTAAACAACCGAACACCAGTAGCGCCCAAAAGTCTCTCTTTTATCCACAAAATTCTCCAAACAAATTTGTACGTACAATTATTTCCGCGTGGAATAATTTCACGCACTTCAATAATCATACCACTTCTGACACACCCCCCTCTGATCTTCAAGATCACTAAAACGCACACAAACAAAATATCAAAAACGTTTATCTTCGGTCATCAAACCGCGGCCAAGCTAGGCACCATCGTCGGTCACAAAACCAAACCGTGCACCTTAATCGGTCAACAAACCGGAGCACTCGCCGCTCACCTCCCGGGCACCATCACCGGGCACCATCGCCGGTCTCCAGCACCGGTCTTCATTACCGGTCTCCAGCACCGGGCTCCATCACCGGGCTCCATCACCGGGCTCCAGGGCTCCAACCAAACCGGAGCACTCGCCGCTCACCACCCGGTCTCCATCACCGGGCTCCACGACCAGTCACCATCACCGGGCTCCATAACCGCGGTCTCCAGCACCGGGCTCCATCACCGGGCTCCACCACCGTGCTCCAGCACCGGTCTCCATCACCGGGCTCCATCGCCGGTTACCATCACCGGACTCCAGCACCGGTATCCAAACTGGACAAAATCGAATCGATCGTTGGTTCGTTGTCGTGCCTCGCCTCTTCGCCATTTTTAGCTTCCTTTATCTTCCCTGTCGAATTTTCCCTTATTTATACAATACCGTATACTAGACCGAGATAAGGCCGAAATAGCTTGTAATAGAATTTAAACAACCGAACACCAGTAGCGCCCAAAAGTCTCTCTTTTATCCACAAAATTCTCCAAACAAATTTGTACGTACAATTATTTCCGCGTGGAATAATTTCACGCACTTCAATAATCATACCACTTCTGACACAACAGTGTAAATAGCACACATAAAATACATAAAATCAGAGAGATGCTGCATAACTATCCCGCTCAATTAGATTCAAACGCGGCCATAACGATCAAAATTGAAAAATAGACATAAAAATGACAAGAAAAAGAATACGAACATCACGTGGCCTCAGTGGCCCACCAACACCAGTTGGATCTCAGTGAGCCCTGCGTCAAACAAGCACCAACCTACCCGGGTACTGGGAGGTGGGGCAGCCACCGGAGCGACACTCGTGCGAGATCTTGTAGTCGAGCGTGTACGGCCAGATGGGTACCCGCAGAGGCGGCACGGGGATGGAGCTGTCCCACGCGAAACCGTGCTCCAACAGCACCTGAGGGCGGCGGGAGGTCACGGTCATAAACAACGATCACACATGGGATCAGAGTGACAGTGAAGCTGCCGTAAAGGTCTGAGAACCTTCAGCAATGCACCGTTATTTTTTTTTTTTAGGACGAATCGATTTAAAATAAGACAAATAAATCGATATAAGAATAGACCGATATAAGTTTTACCTACACTTAAGTTTTTGTTCTCTCGTTTTTATCAAAGCTAAGCATTTCTTAAGCACCAACTCACGTCGAACTGTCGGTTGTCGCCGGGCTTCAGGCGCGGCGCGCGCATGCCGAAGATGTCGAACTCGGACACATTGGCCCACTTGGCGAGCATGGACCTCATGCCGACCATCTCCTGCACCCACTCCTCGTAGGTCTGACCCTGCAGCTGCCGGGACCTGTAGCGGTCGGAGGAACGGCGTCAATACCGAGCGAGATATAGGAGCAGGATATGACATCAGTATCCCAAGTTTTTTTCTATCATGACAGTAATCTCTACTTTTGACATTAGTCTCCATAGATTACACAAACTTCATCTCGGCGTTAGTCTCTGTAGGTTATCTCCACCTATTATAAATAAATCGTCGCCCGTAAAGCCCTCCGGCGGTGCCTTACGTGATGCTGTTGACGGCAATCTCGTGGCCCTTGTGGTAGAGATCCTGCACCATCTGGTAGTTGGAGTACTCGTGGCTGACGAAGAAGGTGGCGCGCATCGGACACTCGTTGGGGTTCTTGTAGACGGTGTCGTTGAAGAGAGCCAGGTAGTGCTCGTAGTTCTGACCGTTGACGGCTCCATCCAGGGACAGAATGACCATCTGTGGTGTCTGGAAGGCGATAACGGGGTCGGGTCAGCCATGCAATGCTGAGTGAGGCATGATCCACCAGCTACATTGTCTATCTTTTGCCTATGTGAACGGATCAAGAATGATGGTTCGGGCATGCTTCCCTTGTATTGAAAAAGATAAGGCCACAGCGAAACCGCTAGAAATTATAATTAATGTTATAAGGAGCGCTTTAATACATTTAGGTGACAGCCAAAACATGAAAGCACACTGATACTTAAGTTTCCTTTTACAGGAGGGATGAGGGAAGCAGTGTCTCACCTCCTTGGGGTCAATGTCTCCGGGGATGCGCGTGCCATCCTTTGAGCAGAAGCAGCCCGGCTCGGCCGGGTCGACCGGGGTCAGGCTGCAGCGTGCCGGGTCACACGCCGAGGCCGCGTACGGGTCCGGCGTGGTGGTGGTCACCTCTGGCACACACAGAGGGCAGACAAATTATCAGACACGAATGGAAAAGTTGGGTTGCATATCAAACTCACGAAGCAAGCTTTCAGCGGTGAAATCAAGCACCTATAACATTCGAAGTGATATTTGCTATCCGTCTACGTGTTCGCAGCCCGCATAAAATTACAGGCTATTGAATAAACTGGACGCTTTAGCACAGGAAGCCAAACACGTTCACTTTATTGAAAGTTCCATAGCAGTACACCGTTATTTTGTCCACTCTGAACTCACCGATTTCCTGCGGTCCGCAGACGGCCAGATTTTTGTAGGTGCACTGTTTGTCGATGGCGTGCCAATGCAGGCCGGCAGGACAGAGTGAACTGTGAGGGTACGAGTCGACGCACGAGTAGAACCTGCAGAGGTAGAAGACACGGCGTGTCAGGAATCAGTGGAGGCAAGCGGCAACAAACATACAAAGATTGTTGTATCACGCAATCCTTTCTAGTAAAGCAGCATTTAACCAAAAAGACAATGGTACATTTTTGTTATCGGGGATCAAATCCAAACGATTTCAAGATTGATATGAATGCACACATCGACATGTGTTGTACTTAGTCATTGTTAATCAGTTAAAGTTTAAATTATGCACATAGACAATTCGTCGATTAGACGGCGATTGACGCCAAGAGTCCGGTTGATTTATGTGTCGTAAAAATATTCAGGTAAGGGATCAAATGCTGGGATCAAAAATAGCAAATTAGGAATGAAACTAGCAATTCCGAGCAAAAATGCCTATTGTGTGTAAACTGTAAAGGTAAAGCCATGCATGTATTTAAAGATCATATTTTCATTAATTTACAAGGAGGTCTCACTTTACTCACTTTCTGCAGTTGGTCGGGTCAGCGAACATGCCATCTGACTGGGGACATTCGAAGTCGCCGCTGTCCGGGAGGTTCTGCCCCGCGGCTGTGGAAGACAGGTCACAGGTCAAGTCAGTGTCACGGTGTCACGGGTGGATCACGGAGCGACGTATCACGGTGCGGCGGCTTGTGCACCGGATGGCGAGTGACGTATCAGTGGCTTCATACATATCTATCGATCAGTGGCGGCGTATTGATCTCGCCACTGGCAATGTGCGCCGCGTTCCTGAACATTTGACAATTAACAATTAACATTGATACACAACACTGCGTACATCTGCCATAGTTTAAGCTTCAGCCCCAGCATCCTCATCCCTTCCATCAATCGGATATTTTGCGGCTTATAATGTTAGAAACAATATGAAATAATGCATCATTCTTGTCAATGTAGCAGGGTTTGCACTGCACCGACCATTGGATCCCTAACGACGGGATTATAGAGCACCAACAACAAACGATCGTTGTGGTGGGTGCGTATTGTGACGTTATGCCCGACTGTCACCCATATCCGGCCTGTTCATATAATAAAGGTAGGTCAACCCTAACGGACCTGGCGACTCTCTACATAAGCATGCGCAGAAGAAAGGTGAGCTGGCCTACACGCATTCTAAATATATGCGTAATGACAAGAGCTCGTCTTCTATCAACACTGAATAACTCCTTATCGCCTAATAGGCGGTCTATTCCCGTCTCCATATTAGTTCGACGAACGTGTTTCAAGGCGTACGTGAAAGTCATGCTCCATTTTTATGCTCCAGTGCCTAATAAACCGCTGTTCCTATCCCGTATTTTCTCTGTGTGAGCCCGGAAACGATGGAGACGGAAGAGCCGTCATCGAACCGTCAGTTTCCAACAGGTTGACCATGGGATCGGCCTTGATCGGGGCATGTCGGAACTCAGATATACTGAGTGCTCCGGTAGGTACCTGTATACCGACAGCTAAGAGATGACTAAAAAGACTGGCTGGTGACAAGAACCAAACGCTTCCGGAACTGGGAACAAGCAACTGTTATGCATATTATCTTGTTATACAGCATTTATGCAGTCGATTGTTCATAACCAATTCAAATCTATATTTCAATCAACTTGCGGCATTATACCTTTGCATGTAACTAGCATCGTTTATTTGTCCTTCGGCCGTTTTCACATAAGACGCCTCAGAAAGATTTGCCGCAAAGTGAAAATGGAAAGAGAAATGAATAATGATTTAGTCGGGCCAATGAGATCCTCATTGGGCGTCGCGAATGCTATATGTGGCACACTTCATGTTGAACAGACAGCGACGATATATAATATGACATGGAAGATGTAAAGGGGGGGGGGGGCTGTTGCAGGCTGTTGCAGACAAGCCTTGAACAATTAATTGCTCATTGTAGGTACATTTAGGTACAACTGTACCGAAACACGTTCACGCGATGTTATCTCAGGTTCATCCCTTCACTCTGCGTCGGTGAGAGTTAACGTCAGACATCTCCCTCTCCCCTACAAGGACCGGTCCTTAGGTGGGGCGACGTCAGCTCACATCCAGTGCTCACCATCCCAGCCCCGAGTTCGACACCTCTCCCTCCAGCCCCTCCCTCCCCTCCCGGGGACTGCACTCCCTCCTCCCCGGCACCGCCGTGGCACCGCGCTCCACTACCGGTTCCTCTCCCTTTCTCTGAAGGTGGTGGGGACCCGAGGTTACCGTTAGACAGGCTGGCCCTCTACTGAGCTGATCTCAGCTGAGGCCTGAGCCGTCCGTCGGACCGGCACCGGAACTCCGGCTCAGCTCGACACAGACTAGCCGGGGCTGGTGCTCACAGAACGGAGATGGTAAAATTGGCCGGCTTGAAAAGATGCAGAGGTGCAAATTTTGCCGACTTGTTACAACGTGAAGAAATGCTTAAAAGAATCAGCTCGTTCTAAAACGAGAACAACAAAATTGATTCTTATATCATACCTACACCTGAAGAAATGAAATTCATTTGAAATTCAGCCCAATCTCGAATAAGAACATGTGCCTTTTTTGGTATTAGACACCAAACAGAGTTGATATCGGCACGAATAGAGCAGAAACTCTTTCCAAAACCTTGCGTGGCGAAAGCTCTTGGGCGTGGTTAGGCCTAACATTTTGACGAGTTGTCACCATTGCAATGCAATACACTGACGTGCCATTGCTAAATCCGGTGCATGGAACCAGTCATGTCTGTCGCAGCAGCTTTTACGTCGATGGGTTTCGTTCCGCCAAATGTGCGATGGTCACACGACGGCCAATGGGTGTGCCTCGCGGGGGTGCATAACAATGGTAACACGGACCGTGATTGTTAGACGGTGAGAGAATGGTGAATGGCTGGAGAGAGAGAGAGAGAGAGAGAGAGAGAGAGAGAGAGAGAGAGAGAGAGAGAGAGAGAGAGAGAGAGAGAGAGAGAGAGAGAGAGAGAGAGAGAGAGAGAGAGAGAGGAGAGCAGGGATCAATGAAGTGTGATCAAATGTAAGTTAGAGCTTAGCGCCTAGAGGTTGAATTAACAAAATGTATTGATCGTGGTGAACCCGAGCCGTCATCACGCGATTTTCTTGTCTAATGTTTGAAACGCTGTGGCACCGTTATAAAAGTTCCGAAGCCAGGCCGCACCCTGACGTCCCGATTCTGAGAATCGCGCGCTCTGAGGATTACACTCTGAGACTATTGTTAACGACTGGGCTTTCCTTACCAGGCGACATCTCGGAGAAATGCTCAGGGTGGTACCGAGATCGCCAAGGTTAAGCTGGTCACCTCTGAGTCGACAGGTCCGACCGCAGCGTCCTGGTGACTGACTGTCACATGACGATACATTGTGGAGCCAAAAGCACTCGTCTTGTTGTGTTTCACAACCTAATGCATCCTGCAGCAGCACACAGTCCCATCACTGGTAGTCACTCCTCCCACTTTCCCCTTCACCGGCAGTAGCCGCACCTCTCTCCTCTCCCATTCATTATTCTTCTTCCCATCTCTTACTTCAAACTTCCCTGCCCTCTCTTGTATTTACCCCGCCCGGTGACAGCCACCCACTCCCTTCCCTCTCCTCATCTCTGAGCCCCGCGGCTCTCAGCTGGTCCGGTCCAAGGCCGGCTGATCGGTACCGGTGCCCGTGCGACCGGCCCGGTCCCGCTGCCCCACCACCACCAGTGACCGGTCGACCTCCATCAGTGGCCGGCCGGCCGGCACGCGCGCCTTTCTAAACCCGCCGCCGACGTCGGAGGTTACCTCACCAGAGGCGACTGGCCCCCACCGGGAGGCTCAGGGGCTCCGGAGACGACCGCAGACTGATGAGTGCATCGATAGGATTGATAATGAGCTCTTTTATCCCGGTTGATGGCTTAAAATTTCTCTTCGGGGACTATCTTTGTCATCGGAAAGAAGTTTTCGCATGTTTAGTATTATTAACGCTTGATGATTCATAGTCGCAAGTGAGGTCATCATTCACGATTCAATAACATTACAGGAAAGGAGTTTTCTATAACCACCCAGATCTACTGCACGGCAAGTGACAATAAGTGATGGGACAAAGACATGACGAGAGAGTATATATTGGAACGTAAGATCTAAATGTCGGATACGACAGGTATCGCATGCTTATCGGCAAAATATTTTTTAAAGCTCAAGGCAGGGAGGATGACAATGACAAAAACACATCGCTGTTCGGAACTGCACAATTCGACATAACACGGATAAGAATTGCGAAAGGTACGGGGATGACAACAGTGGACAAATGAGGAGTCAGGGGTGACGAAGCAGAGCTGAACAGACGAGAAAATGCCGTGGATTGTAGATGTGCGGATTGAGGCTCGTGTCGAGTCGTGCTAAGAGGAAGTACTTGTTGCTTATGGAGGTAATGCTGGACGTAGAAGAGGATTGTAGAAACAAAATGAAGGAGATGACGGTATTGGTGATGTTTGCTACATGACAGGAGGTATATTGAACAAAAATGTCTTGGTTTGACTGTGTCGGCCACTCTGATTTGGGCAAGAGACAGTGCGCTCCATGGTCTGTTTGCACGCCGATGCCGTTACCGTCTGTGAAAGTCTTAATATCAAACATAAAAACAGTGGAATTCTGATGATGAATGGCACACAAGAAAACACAGCCAACAGTATGAATGCAAATTCCGGGCTGGCGTGTCAGCTCGTCCTCGAAGGAAGGGAGAGGCCGTCCTTGGAGGAAGAAAAGTAAGGAGATGCCGTTTTTTAGGACGAAGGTTACCGTCCTCATGGGGAAACGGAACCATCCTCGGAGAAAAGGGCATCGTGCACACGGGAAGAGGCGCCGTCCTCAGATGAGGACGTGCAGTCCTCAGAGGACGCAGAGACACCGTCGATCGTCTACTCACCGAGGCAGAGGAGGCCGGCGGCCAGCAGTGCTCCGCGGACACGCACCATGGTGGACCCCTGACGGACGAGGAGTGACCGCACCGCTCCGCGTCCGCCGCGCCGCCGCCGCCGCCGCAGCACTTTCCCGACCGGCCAGAACCAGCTGCCGAGGTCGCCGCCCGGTCACGTGACCCGACCGGCCGGTCCCCGGCGAGGGTCACGTGGTCGTCGCTGCTCCCCCGCTAGTTCTGTAAGTCACTGTGGCTTGAAGATGCCCCAAGCATCCCGCGATGGACGCGTGAGTTGATATGCAGTCAGCGCGTTTGTGCTCGACTGTCATTTGCGAGTGAGGAGTTCGAAAACCGGTTATGGCTATCGCTGAAAGCAAAAACGGCGCAGTTATTCTCGACAAACAAAAGGGAAAGGAGATCCGAAGAATGATCGCAGGGACAATGCTGCACACGAATGCGATTCATCGTCCACAGCATTTAGCATAACGTTTAGAACGGCGTGCGGTAGCTGGCTGCGGACATACGCAGCTGAGAGTTCGGTGCGTTTGATGCCACGATCCTCGTTACCAATGCTTTACAATGTGTCACTGTGCTCTCTGACCTTGGAATGTCGCTTAGGTATGCCTACATTTTACGATTATTTCATGTAAGTGCTTACAATGTGGCTATATCTGGCCCAGCGGACAGCCGCAAGTCTTCCTCAGCCGAGCGCGAATGTTCGGTGCCACTGCATAATACAATTCCCTCAATTCACGAGATATTGGAAAAGAAATAAAGTTGACAATTAGACCAACTAGCCCGTATTCGAGTCAGGTTTCTCACTAGCACTAGTCGAGCTAACTTAGCTTGCTGACCATCATACGGAAACAGCTGCACGTTTCATGAAGTTCGTGATTTTGCAAATCGTACTGCCTGGTGATTGTGATTTTAAAACAGATAAAACAACTTTAAAACTTAAAAGGGTACTGAGTTCTCGAGTATCTGAAACTTATGCATTGCGTACCTCAATGGTATGGAACATCTGAACTGGAAATATCAGGTGTAGGATTACGTAACCTCCATATGCACTTGGATTCGAAACTTCTTCTGAGCAGTATCCTGGATGAATAAAAATGACACCATAACTTCACATACTATTACTTATTTTATAATGAGCGGTATCCTGGATGAATAAAAATGACACAATAACTTCACATACTACATTACTAGTTTTATAAAGCGCAATTTCTAGCTGGTGCAAGCGTAGCCTTACCCAAAGCTTTATAAACGTTACCATTTGAGCTGAGGCAGCCTTGTATTTGGTGCAAGTAGTTATCCACTGATTGCAGATAGATGCACGTTCCTCATGCCCTTAATTACGAACATAGGCATTGGACTCTTCCAGTTCAGCATTAACAGCACAGTTGTTTTCCGGCAAAAGTAAGTTCCCGCGTACGTTAAATGGCGCTAGTTTATGTGGCACGAGTTCTAAACTTTGTGAAATTCATTTTAACACAGCACTTTCAGAACAATTTCCATTTGTCCGGTGCAGTGGTGTCATGTTTGTCTGGACGTTTTGGATAGAGTTGTCCGTCGGTTCTGCAATGCTGTATGAAAGTTCCGCTGACTGATATTTCCCTAAAGCAACACGTTTTCTTTTTGCCTTAACCCTCGCCGGCCGAGGGGGGGGGGCGGGTGCCGCCCCCCCATAGGGTTTTTTCGCGATAGCTCCGAACACGCTGGCGATAGAGAGCTGAAAATTGGCATACCTGACCTTTGATCCAAGCCGGATCTTTTGACACCAACCGCATTTTTGAGTCAGGTCAGGTCACTGACCTATGACGTCATAAGTGAACCTCTGCACGGTCTTCAGATGTCGCAACTTCGCAACGCCCTCACTGCCAGAGGAAATGTCACAGGGAAATGAAACTTGCAGGATCTAGTATCCATTATGAGTCCCACAGCTTGTATATCTCGGATTTTTCCTAAAGGTCATATGAGGTCAAGTCATTTTCGTGACCTACCTCACCATTATAAGTCAATGAAAACTGCTATTCTGGCGCCGGGAACGATCTACAACCATCTCAAGCACACAAAATCGTGATTTGATGTACTCTTTGCAAGGTTAGATGCGTCACTTTTGCAATGTTGACCTTGCGTGACGTCATTTATGACGTCATCAAGGTCATATTCGTTTTCCGTCAATAACTCTTGATCAAATTGAGCGCTAGCGAGTCGGGAAAGCCACCAATGGACTCAGGAAGGCCTGCCGAATCGAATGATATGCGACATGACCTCTTTCGACCAACTTCGTGACCTTGGGGTGCTGACCTGACCTTGACCTGAGGTCAACACCCTAAGTTGACCTGACCCGAACAAAAAGTATATCATTCGACGCGCCTGGGCGAGGCGAACACGATGCTGCCTAAATCGGCGCTCTGCGGCCGTTTTTGCGAAGTTAGTCACCAAAAACTGAACCGTACCTTGGGGCACTTGACCTGACCTCAGAGGTCACCGGTTGACCTAGGACCTTAAAATCGGGTACCAATCTCTGCGTCTCGTAACGGCGCACACGCTCGTTTTTTCTGCGACGCGCTAGCTCCACCAGGGGCGAAACGGCGAGGGTCGTACCCGCCCCCCCCCCTCGGCCGGCGCGTATGTAGAAAACCAATAGGTCCGGCGAGGGTTAATTAACATTGAAACAAACCAAGAACGCTCTAAGAATACTAAGCACTCCTCAATTACAGCGTGTTTACATCCCATAAAGACACCAGAGCCCATAAGAGGTATATCGGTATATCACTTCACAACACGTCCTTTGTTTATACCACGAATGAGCAGAATAAAAATATCTTCCAAACGAACAACAGCAGTCAGTAATGTCCTCCATAGGACCATAGTTCATTTAAATTACCGATATAGCGATTCTTTCAGTCAAACTTGGAGTTTTGAAACTGTTTAGTTTGGCTTATGAAACATAGTAGGGGAGAGTGGGGTGGGTTGTATCAGTTTTTACTCCGAGACCCATAACCTCGTAACTATCCGTGATAAACTCATTATTTCCATACTATCCCCTTCCTTGATTCTTCTGCTTTTTTTTGTGCAAAGTAACTTTTCCGCTACCTCTACCAGTTTTTCTTCTACGGTCTGCCGAATAGAACAATGTTTTTGATACAACTTGCCCCAGGGCTTGGACGAGTTGTATCACATGGTGGGGTAATTTGTATCACTAAGTATTTCACGTTTCAGGGAGTGTGCTTGCTACTGGTTTTGAACATAAAAGCAACATTAAATGGTGTTAATACAATGTATATGCTTAAAGGCTTCACTTTTATTAGACCAAGCTTAGGTCAATGCAATCCGAACGAAACATCGAAACGAACGAAACATCAACAGACTAGATGCAAAAGTGGCCCGTTAACCCGCGCCCCACTGGGGGGGGGGGCTATTTATAGCACCCCCCCTCCCGTTTTTCTGCAATAACTTCCAAACCGCTTGACGTATCGACGCCAAACTTTCAGTACCTTTGGCTGCATTAATTTGACACCTTGTGTCAAAATTTGAACTTCGTAGCTACCATAGGTCGGCCGGAAATGACGTCAGAGTGACGTCATGTTCGTCCGATTTCGACGCAAAACATTGAACCACGGCAATCGCTCCCAAGAGCTCAGTTTTTAAGCCAGATCCAATTTCTTTGCATGAAAGGACTCAGAATTGACCGCGCTATCAAACTGCTATCTAGGATTTTCAAAATTTTGAAAATTTCGAAAATTTTATATAATAATATTCAAAATTTATATTTTTATATTTTTTTCAAATTTTTTTTGACTTTTCGAAAAAACCGGAATATATGTGACAGAACGCATGATTATGACTAACTCTAGCAAGTTTTAGCTAAATATCTTCAAAAATGGCCAAGTTATACGCATTATTGCAAAAAAAATCACAATTATTAATTTTTCAAATCACTTTTTCAGTACGTATTTGACATCGTACACCAATATAAATGGCACCATCGTGTTCCTGAGCTCAAACTACATCCAATAGACACCTTTTTTGTTGAAAAATTTTAACTTCAAAATTTGACCTTTTTTGACCTGAAAGTGACCTGACCTAAGCTAAATTCGACTCAAAATGACCTCGAATTACACAGACGACATCAAATTCGAAATCTATGGCCTAAATGGACCATAAAACATGTGTCACGTGACCGACGCATGATATAATATTTTCGTGACCTGTGATGACCTGACCCTGACCTGAAAATCAAAGTACAAGTTTGGTACCCTCAAGGTATCTAGAGCATCTGTTCACGAGTGTGGAAACCAAAAATGAGCCTGATCTGACTTGTAAGACGGCGGCCAGAGCCCAAAATGTAAACAAGCCAAAGTGCTAATAATTTTCACTTTGACCTGACCTGTGACGTCATCGGTGACCTCGAGGTCAATGAAATTAGGTTTCGCTCGACAGTTTTTCCGGGGCTATCAGATGCCGTTTGAATTTTGACGATCGGCCCAGTAGTTTCGGAGTTAGGAGGGGGGGCTATGAATAGCCCCCCCCCCCCCCCAGTAGGGCGTGTTATACACAGACCCCAGTGGGGCGCGGGTTAAGAGCAAAGAAGCCAACACATTGTGCCGAAATGGAACGAGTATTGACTAGCTACCTACAAACGCGAGACAGGGCTTAGCTTTCGCGATCAAAAGCAACATACCCATTAGGGTGGTCCTTATTTTCGAAAATCGTATTTGGATACCTTGCGCCCCTTCAATCGGTGCCGTTTAACGAAAAAACATATCTGTCAAAATTTCAGATCCCTACTTCATTATTTACTGGTAGCTCAACGCTCGTTCGTTCGTCAATGTTCGCTCAATGTCCATTTCGTCGATCAACGTTCGTTCCCTCTTCCTCAGGTGTAACGGTTGTCTGCGTCGCAAACTTCTGGGTACATGGTGTCCCCCAGTTATGAACTCCTTGGCTCCAAGTTCCCAGTAGCGGCGGAACACCTTCAATTAGGGGGGGGGGGGGCACTGCCGACTTTTGGTCCCATTCTTTCCATGCAACGCCCATAGGGCTATACTAAAATGGCAAAATTAAGGGGGGCACGGTGCTCCGGTGCCCCCTCCCGTTCCACCACCTATGCAAGCTCCCATCCCGCGGCCAATCTCTCGCCTACTTCCTCCACCGCCACCAAATCCTCTAGGAAACGGTCCGGGAAGCGGCCAACCGGACGTTAGAGAAGGTACTAGAGTAGAGGAGTTCTGGGCCAGGGCCAGGAATCCCACCCAGCACAAAGGGAGAGCGGTCAAGAAGGTGGAAACTCTCTTCGACGAGTGGAAACGCCTGAAAAAGAACAAGAACAGGACTTCCGCCACCCAAACAAGCAACGAG